ATTTGGCGAGTCGCATGAAGGGTGAGCTGCATCCTGCTAAGGGTATTCGGCATCTTGTGCTTATTTCCTTGCGTACGGATGACAGCTACGTATGACTTAATTTATTTTCTGGTGCTTTCACTTCCAGAGACAGTTGTAAGCACTGTGTAACTGCCTCGAGGAAGCTTGACCATTTTAACACAACGTGGTGCGATCATCCCCCGTTGCGCGGAGTGAGGTTTCTCGACGCCGCACAGCATGATCTACTCGACCACCATTATGGTTACCGCCAAAAAAAAAACCGAGGTAAAAAAAAAAAAAACGGTAACCTGGTTGCCGAGTTCACGAAGTGAATTGGCTTGTTTTACAACGTCGTTGCCAATCGACGAAAACCCAATCCCGATGGCAACCACCGAGTGGGGGGCTTGTTTTACAACGTCGTTGCCAAGCGACGAAAACCCAAACCCCGATGGCAAACACCGGGGGGGGGCGGCTTGTTTTACAACGTCGTTGCCAAGCGACGAAAACCCAACCCCGATGACAAACACCGGGGTGGGGAGCTGTCGGGGAGGGGGGGGGGGAAACAAATCAAGCTGAAGGCAGGAGCTGTCGCCAACACATCACCAGCCAGACCTAGCCACACTGCGTACAATATATCCGTTATTTCGCGGCGTGCCCGAAGGGAAGCTGGTCCTACAGTAGCAGCCCGCCCCGTCGATTCAAAGACCCCCCCCTTACGTCACGGGAAGTGTATAGATGGGCCAGGGAAAACATTTTTGAGCCACCTTTGTGATCGGTCAATCCCGTGGGAACAACGCTCCACCCTATTGGGAACGCATGGTCAATGGTGTAACCGCTAAGGCATGCAAAACATGAGTACGCCCCCCCCCCGCCCTTAACTCTAACCTATTCGGAAACACCCCATATAAATAATTTTTGGGAGTTTCGCCCCCCTTGGGCGGAGAGCTGGGCAACACTCACCTCCCTTCGGCGCTAAAGACAGAACGCCCCTTAACTTCAGCCAGACAGAAAACTGATCTAAATTCCGACCCACCCATCCAAAATTACATCCATGGTTCCTCCCCACCCCACCCCAAATCCCGTCCGCGTCCAGCGGCGGAGCCTCGAGCCAAGCTCGCTAGCTAGCCCTGTCGCGGTTGCTGTCGTTTTTAAGCGTTCGGGGGGGGGGGGGGGGGAAATGGGGGAAACCCCTAGGTAAAAATGGGGTGGGGCAGTGGGTATATTGGTAACCAAATAAAAAAAAAAAAGGGTTTGGTGGCCCCCTTTTTGGGAGGGACCTTTAGGCCCCTTAACAAAAAGGGGTCGCCCGAACCGGCCGTTTAA